GCCTGTCTTCTTTCTGGGTACCCTTTTTGGGGGTTGGTTTCAAGGGAAGCCAGAGGGAAACCCACCATTTTGGGGGTCCCTTCAAACATGACACACCCACATACAGCATTCTGTTTAGTTACGAAGCCAGCGACTGGCGAACAGCTGGACCGAATCGCATGTGGCTTCTGGTACCTGGAGTCCCAAGGCGTGCAAACCAAAGCCCAAACCTAGGAGTTGAGTCTTGTCGAACATCATCAGATAAGGCAAACGCATGAACTGCTACCTGGCATTGACCTGAAACAGTTCATATCTTCCTCCCTTTAATAAGCTTGTGACCAGGTGCCTCAACTGCAAGACACATTTGCACATGCCGCAGCAACACTGCTCCTTCTGCTCGAACTGCCAAACTAACCCGACAAGGTCGTGTAGGAAGAGATCGTTTCATTACAAAAAGGAAGTGAGGGCACTGCAGTTTGTCTTGGGTGTGCGGCCAGGACAACAAATACGGCTATCACTGCCATGAGTTCAACACGCTGCGACTTGGCAGGCCTGCGCAGCAAATGGGTGAATAATTGATTGGGGGGGTACGCCCTTATAGTGGTGTTAAAGGGAAACAAATCGGAACATCTCCATTTTGGGAGATGCCAAAAAAAGGCACACCCAAATGTAAAAGTCGACATAAAAACAACATGGTCAAAGTAAGATGATATGTAGCCCAACTCTTTGCCGGCCACGGCCAATAATTAGGTGCCACATGGGAAATTGCTTGATACTGTGGTGGGTATGGGCTATATGGCCGAGGCTCAAAAAACCGGAATTCCAAAATGGAACCCTGGTAAGTGGACACATGGACCAAAATCCGCGTAATTTTGGGCCATACCCATATTGCGCCCTGAAATCATTGTGCAACTCTGGACTCGTTGCGCTCCGAGTTCCTCCTGCGACCAAAGTGCTGGCTGGGATGGCTGGGAGGAAGAGGCAGCCTGACCGCAATGCGTTACATGCAGCAAATGGAAGTTACAGAACCACCATGAAAAGCTCACCCAAGAGTCTGCGTGAAGATTCGTCCTCCAAATAAATGGTCACGTTTCCGTTGCTGCTTTTAGCTCTCAAGAAGACATGGACAACACAAACGAACACAGCAGAAAGGCAAAGGATGCTCGGGGGAACTCAATTAAACACCCCAGAGGGCTGTGAATGGGGAAACATCAATCCTCCCCCCCCCAAAAAAAAGGGGTCTGTTCCCTTTGGTGGTGACGACCCAAATACATTACCAACATAATACTCGCAACTCGCCGAGCAGTTACAGTCCTTTTTGCTGAGTTGAAAAGGCAGACTTCACAGAAGTGCTGCGCTAATGGCAAAGGGCCGCAGCTTTCGTGGTTTGGTGAGACATGCATGGGGTGGTCCATTTACGGTGAGTCATCTCCATTTGCTCAATCACTCAGCCCCATGCCCATACCCAACCCAGAACGTGTCAGGGGGTAGAAGTCGAGTGGTAAAATTCCATGGGCAACCAAGGCTTCCATGCCGGCTTCAACCCAACTCGGCTCCAGCCCGCTGAAGCAAGCAAACACTTTCATTTGTGCATAAGCCCCCTTTCAAACCAAAACGGGAGAATCATATTCTTCAGCAAATGGAAGAAGAAAACACACAAAAATGTTGAAAGAAGGCAGTTTTCCTGGGAGCGGAACAACTGGTGGGTTTCCAACCAATGCTGTTTGAAACCCTGAACCACTGGAGAGTCTAAGCGGATGTATTCCCACTGCACCTCAAGCTTTGAGAGACTGAAGGCCGATGCCCGTACCGTCTCGTTTCCATAGACCTGATTGACGAACTGCTGGTTGCGCTCCCTCTCCGCCGCCAACTCCTGCTGAGTCGCTTGCAACAACTTCCCAGCCCCCCTTCCCCCCCTTCCCCACCTTCCCGAAGCTTCTCCGCGGAGAAGTGTGGCTTTGCCTGTCTTTCGACTTGCCTCACGTGGAAGGAGACAGCCAGCGGCCAGATCTTTCTATCTTCACCGCTCTCCTTCTCTCTTGATCAAGTTATCAGGTGTAAACGAGCGGAGTGAGTGGGTCGTTCGTCTCTTAACCGTGACTCACTTCCCTTCTCTTGTCCTCTCTTTACCATCTTTTCTCCTCGTCCCTTAATTCCCGAGGTAAACGATGGACCAAAAGGGACAAGGTGGTGAAGTAAGGGAATAAAAGTAGGTTTGTTTCCCTTGGTATGTGGCGGGTTCCCCCAAAGCGACACACCTGTATTCAAGTTGTGACCATGCAGGTTCATGTGTAGGCTTGCTTTGAGTCATAATATTCTGGGCATGAACAAGAAACATTCCTGTCTGGGTGCATGTTCATCATATCGAACATGAGGCCAAGGGATCGCGCATTTCTAGCAACCAGCAGTTCCATGTCCGTCTCCTGCTCCAGCTTGGCAACCCTTGCGGCTAAGTCCATGGCGCCAGACGATCGGCGCGAGCCGGCAGAAAAAGGTCTTGGGGGACGCCTACCTGCGAGGGAGCAAGGGGATCGTTGTCAAAACACATCTTGAACCCAAGAGCCCAGGCTGCTCGACATGTCTTTGCTGCCATACGGCAAACGCATTGCTTTGTAAGTTGTCATAATCCTGGCGAACCCTTTAGAGTGATTCGCTGCAACATAATTTCACATCCCTTGCCACCAAGACTCAACGACTGTGGTTAAGGAAATGATATGCCTCCTCCGCTCGGCCCATATCATGACGAACACATACTGCGAGCCGAAAATGCGCGGGGCCGCCCCGAATCCAATCAAACCAAACATGCTGACAATCTGCATGATTGCCTGCAAGGAAGCATCCCGTTCATGACCCTGCATTCTCTCAATGAAGCACAACAATGACGTAAAACTTTGCAACCCACTGTCTCAATGATTGGACTTCCATCCGCATGCAATGTCTCAAAGTATTTCCTCAACAGGTTGCTTGCATGTTAGCCGGGCTGCAGCAAAATGCATGGAGGAACTTATTGCGAACTATACCTCTCACATCGCTCGAATGTCTTGACGCTTCGCAACAAAGGCAAACTAGCTATCAACTTGAATCCACCTACTATTGAATTCAATAGACCCCAACTGCCGTAGGCAAAACGCTACATCTAACTTGGCTGCCAAGAATGTCCGAAACCAGGAAGCACAGAACACTGCCTTCTATGACTGGCGAGGCCACAAGCACAAGATGGCCAACTCAACTTTGGAGTGCAAAGAAGCCCAGCGAGAGATGGGACACGGGGGCCGATGACCGTTGCTCACGTTGCATCATGGCTAGTGAGGTGCTATGGAACTCGCGGTACCGGTACATGCCAAGAATGTGCGAGCACGGCAACATGTACCGGCTCCGGTTCACATGCACCCGTGCTTTTGCCTCTTGAAGAGCTTATGTGAAGCATGCGTACCTTTCAGGTTTCTTCTGCTTTTCAGGAATGACCGCATTTATGGGCCTGGGCTTCGCGCTCATGCCTCGCAAAGACTACTAGCACAGCAACATGTCTGCCTGCAATGCAGTTCTCAACTTGGCAAAGGGATGTGCCGACTCTTTTGCCAATTTTCCCTGGACTGGCCATGGACCCTTAGCTGGCTCTTTCTTGAAGCACGATGTCATGGTCATGGTCCCATGCAGAGTCCCGGGTGAAGCGGCTATACCTAAACCATGAGGTTGTTTGCAAGTTTAGACAGAGGCAAGCAATGGAAGGATGCTTAGCTACATCAATCGACTCCGGGCTGTTGCCCTTCCGCGCATTCACATGCATTCACCCAATGAAAAGCTTAGAAGGACTTCGCCTTTGCTACTGGCAATTCTTCTGATCAATCGCGTACCTTAAATGTGCGGAGTGCTCTGTTGACGTCTGACAACGCCCACAAACCGCCTGGGACCCGCAATTGCCGAACTGGTTCACCAGCAAGGCTTTGCTTCACTAACTTTTTGTCCATAATACACTTCATTGAAGCCTATGTCAACTGGAGCGGCGCCCATCAGCATGCCCCTACGATGAATGTGATGGGAACAAAGCAGCAAAGGCAGCGAGATGCACATGGATCTGGAAGACGCAGGTTGTTGCCGAAGGGAAGTATTTCTTCTGCATACCTGCTGGCCTGTGCAATGTCTTGGTCAGGCACCTTCCCGTTCCCTGCACATTGACTCCCACCTCGAGGTCTACTACAAAGTCGGGCAGATTGGGAGACCGAAGCCGCAGCAGCTGGGTCTCAGCGAGGGCAAGAAGTTGCAGGGCATTCTCTTCGGGGTGATGGTGGAGCCAATTCCGAAATTTCAGGGAACTGATTCACATGCCCCTAACATAATTCACTTTTCACAAGGGTACAACATATAGAAAGGCACATGAGCAGGCACATGTTTGGTGCAAGCACGCTTGAAAGCAAACCTCCGCGGCTTGCGTTCCTTTGCAGGGGCCTGTGTCTTCCGGCTTGAGAAGTCCTAGTTTCAGTACATTTCATTCCGAACAGTTGCGCTAACACGGGAAGATCCCTTAACAAGCAGGACCGGGATAACAGCTGGATGTGTTGCAACACTGTTGCCAGGAAACCTTTCGCTTTCATGCGCCGTGAAAAGAAGGTCAATGACAAGTAGTCATACTGCACCATGCCTGTTCGGCGAAACATGTCCAGTTCGTACTGCTTTGTGTGGTTGCGGGCTTGTCGTCGTCGTCCTCGTCGTCGTTGTTGTGGTTGTGGTTGTGGTTGTGGTTGTGGTTGTGGTTGTGGTTGTAGTGGTGGTGGTGGTGGTGGTGGTGGTGGTGGTGGTTGTGGTTGTGGTGGTGGTGGTGGTGGTGGTGGTGGTGGTGGTGGTGGTGGTAGTGGTAGTAGTCGTAGCAGTAGTAATACCAACACCTTGCTAACCGCCCATCCAGTTCCACAAGCACTCTACATAATCTACTTACCAACTTACTAACGTACTAACTTAACAACTGCCCCCTCCAGCGCGTTGCGCACTCACGAACCCCATTTCTCCAGCTCATCTTACCACCCTTCTCTGAGTGCACAGGATACTAACTTTCGTTCTGCCTCCTACTTTCTGTGGTCCGGGAAATGTCCGTTTGATCCCAAAATACTGGGTTTTTGATTCTGAATTATGCTCGTTTCATGCGCATGCTGCAGTTGCAGCTTGTTGGCGTATTCAAGCCGCAAGCTTGCAATTTATCTCATGCTTGTAAGTTTTACTCGGGGGATCCCAGTGTCCAGTAGAAACAACATGCCAGCGCCTGACATGGCACAGGATCGGCTTTGCCATGAGATCAATAAGCTAAGTTGCTCCTGTCTACCTTTGCAGCACACATCAATCTTGACAGTCAGCTGGTGACTGAACAGTGCGAGTTTGCTCATGTGCCCATTGCTGCCCAATATTGCCCAGTGGTACACGAACATGCACCATTCGCTTCTCCTTTTGGCTTGGTGACCTGAGGTCCAGAAGACGCCCGCAGCTAAGGGAGAACCTTGCCTACTCCTCCTGAAAGACTGAGTCAAAGCCGGACCTCTGTGCGCTGGCCAGCCGTAAACAACTTGCTGCTGGTGTCTGGTACCATCAACCAATCGGCGCAATACTCCAACATCCGAGAGGTGATCAACACGTGAAAGCAGCCATAAACGGTACTACTTGAGAACAGTCGAAGAATGGAGCGTTTTGTGAAACGTCTGGGCATATGCCTTTGCATCCTGTAAACAGGGCTTGGCAGGACCTGAGTGCAATGCCAGTCTCAGCAAGAAGAGACACTCAGAGCTCCTAGCGACGCAAAAAAACGCATCCAAGCACTGATGTCCAATGCCTGCACTTCTGACGCTGCAATCCACAAAATCTAGCCCATGTTCAAACAAAATGAATACTTTCCATGGCAAAGGTTCAACAGGTTCTAAGTGGATATGTCTCAAAATGGTGAGGGACCCTTCAAGATGTGGTTTTCCGCGACAGAACATATCATTCATTGACTAAGGTTCCCGAATAGATGAGGGTTCCATGTCTCTACCAAGCGCGCAGCAAATATCACACCCATCAATGTTGATACGGTCTTGATCACAACTGCTTCGTGCGTGACCATCCCAGCAGCCGTCCCTCTCATCTATATCTGAGCCGGGGCAGTGGGACAAAGGGACAGCAAACTGCTTGAAGGGCCCCATGGTGGCACTGGCCAACTGGTGACACGCAAAGTTAAAACACTGCTTCCATGGGAGTGAGAAATGTGCGCCAACGCCGGCCTTCCCACCTACACTCAATCATGTTTCCCTGTCGCTGATGCAAACCTCTCAAAAGAAAGAAGCTCGGACTGATGCATACTACTACTACTACTACTACTACTACTACTACTACTACTACTACTACTACTACTACTACTACTACTACTACTACTACTACTACTACTACTACTAATAAGAATAATAATAATAAATAACAATAACACAAATTATAATACGTAGCCTTTTTGGCCCCTTTTTCGGATGACACAACAGGATCCCTTGAGAAAAAACAAAACTAACACGTGACCTCACTCCCGCCTGAAACAGGGGGGGGAGGTCAAGGTTCCCCATATTTCTCCCCTAACGTCACTCTAAAAGCAAGCCCCCAAATGGTCGTGTGTAAAGTAACCAAAAGGGGAAACACAAGTCGGTATGTGTCTAAATAGCCCAAAATGGTGCTCCCTTCAAACCAGCCCCGAAAGGGGAAATTGCCCCAACGCGAGGCTCTCTCGCTCACTTCTGGCTCCTGATTCCAGCAGCCTCAGGCTCGGGCTTGTCCGAGCCCGGACGAGGCTCACAATGCGCCCCCCCCCACTGCTGCCCAACAAGATCAACTGGACTGGGTGTGTGTCCCAAACATCCCGTTGGTCTGTGGCGGGAGCCAAAATGAGACGCATGAATACCGAATACATAAGCAACACAATTCATGTGTTCCATGAACAAATGTACTACAACGCAATGATGCAAAAAACAACTTGGCGGCCTGCTTTGTCAAAAAACAAAGGCGTGCTTGGGAAGAAGGCCTGGCTAAGATTGAAACATCCAGAGGTGACCCCTATCATGTACCTCCGACTATCCCTTACCTTTTTGTGGACGCGTCCTGGGTCCCATCCCTATAGACTAGGAGAGGGGAGGATTCTTCTCCAACTGCATGTTTCCTACAATCATGAAGCTTCTGACTCATATCGCGGACTTCAGGGAGGCTCACCGTCGCCCAAGGGTTGCAAGGTGCCCTAGGACCAATGGTTCTCACTACCAAAGGCGTTCGGTTTCCCCATGACCACTGGCAAGCAACATACCTTAAGCAAAACAACCTACTCTGCTGAGGCTTCTGAGGGACCGTCAATTCGCAACCGAGGGCTCATGGTGCTGCTGGTTCTCCACTCATTGGCCATGTTGGACATCCAACTCATTGCGCAAGGGCCTTAGGGACATCGCATATTGGGAGCTAAGCTGGCTCTTAAACGTGAAGGCTAAGAACCCCATCGGGTATGTATGCAATCACACGCTCCAAAACTAG